ACACAGAGTCAGTCATGCAAGTATGATTCGGCAATTTCATTTGGAATGACCAAATCTGATAAATAAATTCATTTTGAGATGGTGGAGGCAGGCAAGCAATTTTTATACATTGCCCAGTTTTCAATTTAATGTGATTTAATTATTACAAATGTGACAAAGTACAAACTGAAATATCACAAAATGTAATTTTTCCATTCAAAAACTGAAGTTCAAGACATGTAAAGAACACAATAACCCAAAAGCAGGTTTATCTCAAATACGGCAGAAGCTGCTACATTACTCAAGATAAAATCTAAGGTAGGCTTGTCTTGGCTATTCTTGCTTCCCAAACTAATGATTCTGGTTGTTAATTTCTAGCACTAAATACTGTAAACCTACTAAACTATTAATAACTAAATATAAAAAAACTAAAATATAAAAATAAAGTAGCACTGGAACTGAAATGTGTTGAATTGCCTTACCATTAAAGAAATCTGCATGAACTGCCTTTTCATTAGCTGCTAAGTCCATCAATAAACCTGTACTTCCTCCTGCCTAAGAAAGAACAGTGTTTTGTCATCTACTGTGCATAGTTTAGTGGCAAATCATAATATTCACTATTTAAAGCTTTGTATATGTTTAAGTATCTTGATCATTCATACAAACATTTACATACCTATCAAATTAACATAATAATTATAATTAATGGCAATATCCTATCTCCTAGAACTGGAAGGGACCTTGAAAGGTCATCAAGTCCAGCCCCACTAGCAGGACCAAGTACTGATTTTGCCCCAGCTCCCTAAGTGGCCCCCTCAATGACTGAACTCACAACCTTTGGTTTAGCAGGCCAATGCTCAACCCCCTGAGCTATCCCTAAACCCTTTGAGGTATTATACATTACCCCATCTTCTTTCCACTTTTATTGCCATCTGTACAACTCATTTAAGTGGCATGATTGTCTCTCCTGCTTCTGGAGAGTTTGAACTTAGCTTGTTTTATCGGCAATAACCTTCATTTTCTCCCAGCCTGTCATATGCTAAATTTCTTGGTGGAAGTGTGACCGAGATAACCAAGATCACAATCCTGCAGTAAATTCTAGGCAAACACCGTGATGCCTACATAGAACACCACAGTAATGTACTGGGGGGGGGGGGAAGCAAACAGCTTACTGGGATGTACTGGCAGGAGTGCTGTAAGCAAGACTCAAGAAGTAATTCTTCCACTCTACTCAGCACTTTACATAAAAATAATTACATAAAAGGTTGTTATAAAGAGAAAGGTGATAATTTTTTCTCCTTAACCACTGGCACGCAGAACAAGAAGCAATGGTCTTAAATTGCAGCAAGAGAGACTTAGGCTAGACATCAGGAAAAACTTACTAACCGTAAAGGTAGTTAAGCACTAGAACAAAGTGCTGTCTAATGACAAAATAAATACACTGAAAATAGAGAAATGTTTTCTCTCCCAGTTGCAGGGATCTCTGAGGATCACCTAACACTGTAGATGTAACACTTCGGATCACACTTGTGTGGTTTCAGTTGAGGGTTCAGCCTTAGGCCAGATGCTTCAGAGGGAATGAACAGACCAGGGTAATTTTTCAGTTAGCCATCCCCTGTTGTCCAGTCCCAGGTTCTGGCAGTCAAAGGCTTAGGGATACAAAGAGCAGGGGACTGCATCCCTGACCATCTTGAATGATAGCTATTAATTGACCTATTCTTTTTTGAACCCATTTATACTTTGGCCTTCACAACATCTCCAGGCAAGGAGTTCTACAGGTTGACTGTGAATTGGGTGAAAATGTACGTCTTTAATTTTATCGTGTGACCCCTGGTTTGTATGTTATGTGAAGGGGCGAGGGGGAGAACTGCCCGCCCCCGCGGTGCCCCGCCCTGTAGGAGGCGGTAGAAACCAGCCAATCAGATCTGGCACCGCTGCCCAGACTCGCGTCCTGTCAACACGTAACGCAGCGCGAGCTCCTCGTCCGCCGCTCCCCCAGCGCGAGCCCGTAACCGCCAGCTCAGCCCGCGGCATCCCTAACGGGGCACTGCGCGCGCCGCCTCCCCCGCTAGCATCATCACCTCGTCCAGGTCCACGTAGGGCCCGGCGCCCTCGGGGAACATCTCGTCCACTGCTGGCTTCATCGCCTCATCAGGTCCCCGGCTCGCGAATGGCCCCGGCCGGCAGCGCCTTCCCCCTTGGGACCCACTTCCGGTATGAGCTCAAGCCGCCAGCTTCCGGTGTAAGGAGAGTCTGCGCAGCTCCACTCCCGTGGCCCTTCTGGAAGCTGGGAGGACCGGTCGCTCTATGATGCCTCCTCAGGCGCCGCCCTGGTTGCTGCTGTAGCTCTGCCCCGCCCCCCAGCACTACCTGGCTCTCCTGGGGAGAGCGAGAGCAAGAGCAGGGGGTTCGTGTCCTCTGAGGGGAAGCACAGCTCAGGGCTACTGTTGGCCCAAGTTGGGGCAGGGGCTCCCTGCTGGGAGTCAAGGCCTCCTAGGAGGCCTAGGCTATGATCAGTCCAGGCGCTTGGCGACTGCTTATGTTATACAGAATTTCCCATGGCCCTTTGCAGTGGGGTTAGGGCTCACCATGCACCTCGCGTGGCCTGGGGGAGTTGCTGGCAATGGCAGCGCTTGCCAGATCCACACTTTCCCCCTGGGTCATCAGGCCAGAACCAGAGCCTAATTCTTGCCATCTTAGTTACCCCACTGCCCACCAGCATTAGGGTTAGAAAAAATCCCCCCTTCACGTTCAGCAGAAGAGCCACGGCAACGTTTTCGAAAGCACTGAAGTGATTTAGACCTTCTTGGCACACCAAAGCTGTACCACGTTAACTGCCCTGGCATAATTAATGCAGTACTATCTCTTGGTGTGGCTGCCATTAGACAAGAGCACTAGGTTGATACCAGTATAACTGTTCCCATACAGGAACGGGGATAAGCTACGCTGGTATGAGCACTTTATATTGACATAACTGCACCCTTATTAGGGGCTGTGCCAATATAACTATACAGGGGAAAAGATTACACCCCTAACTGATATAGTCCCATTTTCGAAAGTGACTTAGACATTTAGGTCCCAAAGATGTTCAGTGACACATAGATTCCTTAAGTGCCTAGGTCACTTTTGAAAATGGGCCTTTATCTTCTAAGAGTACGTCTACACTATAAGCGCTATGGCTGCGGTGCTGCCACTACACCTCTGTAGTGTAGGCACTTGCTACAGTGACAGAAGGGGTTTTTCCATCACTATAGTAAATCCACATCCTCAAAAGGCCGTAATTAGGTCGATGGGCTGTCACAGACTTCGTGTGTGACGTTGAATGAAGTACTTAGTCTTTCTGTTCCTCATCAGTAAAATGGGAATAATAGCAATTCACTACCTCATGGGGTTTAGTAGGGATACATACACTGATGATTGTGAGACACCAAAATGTTACAGTAATGGGTGCCGTATAAGGACCTAAAATAGGTAGGATAATCCTTATTGTTGAACTACCATAAATAATTTGCTGTGCTAGGCAGCTTCTGTTTAGGAGAGACTTATACTGTGATATTCTGGTGACAGAGGTTCTATTTCTCCATTGCCCTGTAACTTTGTCGAGTCATTTACACCTGTGCAGGGTGGTTGTAAAAGGTAACCAAATCAGAATGGTAGCACTTTATGTCCATTCTGCTGAGGTGTAGATGACTACACAAGGTGCAAAGCATTAGAGAACCAAGCCCTAAACTGTTTTTTGCCTCTAGAAAGATTATTCTCAGTTTGTAGTTAATAGAGTGAAGCACTAATGCAAAGATAAGTAGAAGACTGGTTCAACTAGTGGTGAGAGTGTCTTCAAAACATCATTCATGGAAAAAAATACATTAATAAAAAAAGGAAGGGGATGAAGATGAATAAGAAATATAGATAGAAGGCACTCAAAATCCCTTTGGGTTCCGGCCACCTGCAAGACTGCCTCCCTCTCCAACTGCCAGCATGACACGGGAGATTAATGGAGGCTCTTGAACTAACAGTCCTAGATTGTCCATTCGGCTAAGGCCATCGCTATGCAGTGCAAAGTGGCCTTGACTTGGCTCGAGATTCCTAGTAGAGCATTCCCCCTGTGTAGGGGTACTCTCTGCTTGTGTACAGCAAGTGGAGGAAGTGTATGTGTGTGACAAAGTGGGAATAGCCTTGGGCTAGCTCCCACTCTGCACACTTTGTAAGCGCTCTTGCAAAGGCCAAATTGGGAGATAATTGATTAGGACTGGGTGACTAACCCGTTAACAGCAGTCAACTCATCAGCTGGGGACTGTTAAATAGGAGACAGAAAGGGTGAGAGCAGGGCTGAAACTGGACAGAAGACACAGAAGTCCAGAGAAATGAGATCTCTATCCTCATCCTCTCATCCTGTGGCTACAGAATACACTGACTTGAGAAAAGCCTTATGGTAATGGGACATGAAGCTGCCTAAAATGTTGTCAAAAGTGTATAGTGTGAATTTATGTAAGAGCATGTGCCGACTGCGTGAGAAGAGAAATCCAGGGTGAGGAAGCACAGCCTGTGATAATCCCTCCCACTAGTGCCAAGTATCCCCTGCCCAACATTTGGTCCTCTGCTGGTGTAAAGGACTTTATGCCATCAGTAGCAACAGCATAAATTAGAGTGGGATCTCTTCTGCACTAACTTGCACTGAATGAGGGAGCCAACATCAACTCTGCGCTGTTGCACTCAAACAAAGTGGAGAATTGGGACCACAAATTCTCAATTTAAAAGTCAGGGAGCAGGTGGCAAAGCATTGTCAGTGGAGGGCCTTTGGTGTGGAATTCCATGTCCAAGCTGGGTTATCAGAACCCAAGTCTACTGGTCAACAAGACTAAGGCTAATCTCTTCTCTTGGTGAGTGATTATTGGGTTGGAGGATTCTTATGGTGATTTGGGTCAACAAGTTTTTGATGTTATTCTTTATATATTGGTCAAAGTCCAGAGACTACCCAATGGGCACTTTTATACATTTTAAAATACAAACAGCCAAAAACAGGCTTGAAATCAATGAATTTTTAATTTTTGCACAAAAGAATACACTGTATTGAAAGGAAAAGCTGGACTAATTATCTGCCGTTTTACAAACATGGAAACGCTATACAATATGTTTAATGTTTAAAAACATTGAAACAACATAGACTAAATGGGCAATTCAGGCATGTTTACTGGCAGCAGTACATTCCTTTAAAGGTCTCAGCACTAGCTTTAGCAAAATGAGCAAAATCATTAGTGCTCATGATAGGGAACATCATAACCAAGGTTATTTCCAAAAGGATATTGAGCAAACAGGGTTCTGGCCATTTCGTTGATTCTGTTGTATGCTCCCAGGGTCTGGAAATACTCCACATACGACCAAAAATCACTGGACCAGAAAGGCCAATATGGTAGGGCTGCAGGTTCCTCATACGGGTCTACAATAAAAATTGCAGAATGAGATTAACATAACATGAAATGTGTTGGTTAGAGCATGACCAGGAGCCTAGACGCCTGGGTTCTAGTCCTAGGTCTCACTATGAAGCAGGTCACTCACCCTCACTCAGGCCTTGATTTTCTCTAGGGCTATGGCCTGGCAGACAGTGAATGTAAAAACCCTACACTACCCACTCCTTTGCCCTGGTGCATGGGAGATGATAAGTAGAGCAGGGAGGGGGCAAAAGAAGGCATGGTCAAAGTACAGTGTGGTCTGATCTAATGGCCCACAGAGGGCTGTTAGAAGCTGGCACAATTTAGAACTGGGGCTGCTCTACTTTGTGCTGTGGGCTGGTTGGGGACTAGGCCTAATCCAAAATTAGGTCAGCCAAAGGTGGCTTTAAGTCACCTTTGCCATCCCCCTCAACCACTTTTCCTCTGCCTGGGACAGGAAAGGAATACATCATTAAAGGTATAATCCTTGTGAACTATTTTACAGGGGTGTTGAGGTGCTTACCCACTTAGTGATTGTAAAGTAAAGCACTGCTATTATTAACCTAGCTCCAAATTGAGTAGGGTGTAACTGAAAATTCTGTACTGAATATTAAGACATTTTATAGAGAAATGAAATCAATGGGAGCTTTGCATGAAAATTGATGGGATCGTATGGCTTTATACAGCAAAGCCTTCCAAGACCTTCCCACCTTGAATTAATTATTCTGCAAATAAAGATGGCTTCTCCTATAAACACTGCAAATGATTTTTGTGGAATACTTTTCAGCAGTGCCCTGTCCGTCCTGCTGGGATGCCAGCCAAGTTTGATTCTTGCTATCAGCTAAGAGGATCCCAAACTGGAACCATTTCTCCTTAAACTGTGAAGAGCAGAGAACTCTTCTATACTTTTCCATGATAACATTATTAACATTTAGTTGGCTACAGCTTCTGGCCTCTGGTACAGGCCACATCCTGAGACTTCTCACACACAGTGGGAGTAGCAGCAGATCCACTCTGAGAGCTGATCATGCAAGTGGATCCATGCAGGTTGACTCTTGCATCAATAGGGCTCTGCTGGGAGAGGGGCGGGGCATAGGGGGAAGGCTTCAAATATCAGCATCGGGATCTAAGATGCCTTGCGGAAGTCTGAAGCCTCAGAATTATGTCTCTTCTCTGTAGATAGTAGAAACCAAAGGCTAAAGAGATGGAAAAAGAGATCCAAGTAGGAAGTGTCCAGCAGGTGCAAACACTTCCAACTTGGCAGACAGCCAGGTTTTGGCTTTGTTTTTAAAGAGGATGTAAAAAATAATCTGGACTTGAGTTGCCAATTCAATGAGCTCAGGGCCTGATGCTGCCAGGTTCTGAGCACCCTCGGGCCTTGATCCAACAAATCACTTCAGCATATGTGGAATTTAGCTGAAGAAGTACTTACAAAGGTAAAGTTAAATGTGTGTTTCAGTGCTTTGCTGGATGAAGACCACTGCTTGTATTAGCTGATCTCCAGGTTCATGCTGCAGTCTGCTCCTTGGCACAATGTGAAACAAACCCACATTTGCTGTAAAATATTACCCCGTCTAGGATTTTATATTGTAAAATACACACCGAGAAGAGATGTGTGGTTATTTAATTGTGATGTTGCATCAAAAATTATTTCTGTGTTCAAATAAAATATTGTGCACATATTTGTTAAAGCACAGAAAAAAGTATCCAAAAAATTGAGTTGTGAGGTGTAATTAAAGCAAGCCAATGAGGCTTGTTGCATGGAGTTAAAAAAAGTGTTTGTTTTCAATTAACATAGTCAAATTCTTTCCATGCCACCCTCCCACCCCACCCCCCCATTGTCCGCCTAGGTTCATGTTTTGATGGGCACTGCTGTTTCCAGTGGAATGTTACGTTACTGGATATCAGCAGATCCAAGACAGTCTTCGCTCTCATGCCAATACGCATCTCAATGAACGCCATATAGTGTTTGTGTTCAGCATTTTTCTAGCAGTGCTAGAAAAATTGTCTAGCATTGCTGCTCTTTGCTCTCAATAAGAATTTAAGCAAATATATGGTCGACACAATTTCCCCGTGCTGTCCTCAGAAATAACTAGCTACCATCCAAAGCACCATAACCTATCAATAAGGCAATTAAAATGTTGTTAGGATGACTTTTTTAAAGTAAAGGCAAACATTGCATACTATGGATCAGATCCTCAGCTGATGTAAATCTGCATAGCTCCACTGATATTTACCAGCTTAGAATGAGCTCCTATTTTTTTTTTAATTGGCTTGCTGCTCATATGTAGATTTTAAGCTTTTTGTCCTGGAAGTTGGGATTTCTCGCCAATAAGTAGACATGCATCCTGAGGTTCCTGCAAGTCCAATATATTTAAAAGTCTGGTGTTTCTTAACTTATGATAGCACTGTAAAACACACAGTTTGGTGATCTTCTAAGGACATGCCTTAGCTATCAGTTTTGCTATTTTTATTTTAACTTTACTAACACATCCTCTCTCTTTGTAATATGCAAAAAAAAGTTTATATTTTTAATAAATTGCCTAGCAGCACTTTATGTATTTATTTATTTATTTCTTATTTCATACTCTATCACCAACAGATGAAAACATTTATATCAGGGGTTGATGCAAAGCCCACTGAGTCAATGGGAGTCTCCCCACTGACTATAATGCACTTTGGATTGGGCCCGCCAGTTACAAGTGGCTTTTCCAATTTTTAGGAATGGGGGAGGGGGAGAAAAAGTCTGAAAATCATTACCGTCTTCATCCTGTACTGGCCGGGCATCTGTAAATAAATAAGAAATAATCAGTAGTAGGTCTCAGATGGAAGGGTTTTCAGTGTACAAAGAGGTGCTGTGTAGCCCAGAAGCTGACCAGCTCTGCAATGCATTAATAGGAGCCTACTGACAGCTAAACTTCTGTGTTTGAAACAGCTGAATAAAGAATTCTCTATTTCCAGTCACTCCGTGATACAATTTGAATACTGTTTATTAATAATGAAGGCAAATGTGACTGGTGTATTAATAACATTTGATATCAAATGCAAGTCAACAGATCTAGATTAAAATATTTAAGGCTGATGGGAAAAAATAAAGGATAAATATAAAAGTTAACTTACCTGTTAATGCATTCATCAGCATGCAGAGAGAAATTAAGCCAATAAAGATAAACCTCATGGTGTCTGCAAATTATTATTCCTGTTTCTCAAATATAATCTATAAAATGAAATAGAGCAGAATATATCAAAATACATTTTTTCTTCTATACAAAAAAATTGGAATCATCTATTTTTCACTAAAGTGGCAATAAGATTTTTATATTTCCAGGTGTCTCTAACCCTCCAACTGCTAGAAGCACCTGGCACTGGCCACTGCCAGAGACAGGATCTTGGGTCTGAGGGACCATTGTTTTGACCAAGCATGGCTGTTCTTATAAAATTTGTTAATAGCAAAAAACTTTCAGTATATTAAAAGAACTGCAGTACTCAGGTTTGATGTTGTACTGGATTAAAAAAAATAATAAAAGTTCACCTGCACTGACATGAAATTAAATGTCTTGGAAATATTTTGTTTTGTAGCTACTTTAGTTTCACTTTAGAAATTACCTTTTTCCCCACCTTTCTCTTAAATGAGTAGAGGTCTGTAGCTCTGAGTCAGCTGCAAAAATCTGAATGGGTTTCTATTGCTATAAAATAGCACCACTGTTTAGAGAAGGGTGGGGAATAAGGAAAGGAACGTCACTTACTTAATACACCAATCTGATTTTTTCAGCCTAATCTAAAAGTGTGTACTTGCACACATCTATAATATATTGCAGCGCCATCCATGGTCAGAAGTGTCTAGATAAACTGGGAATAAAATTCCTATAGTATAAAACTAGAGAAAAAAATCCAGCAGCTAATTCAATAATTGCTGCTTACAATATCTCTCTGATTTGTATGCTTTTCTCTATGGAAAAAGGTCTTCTCAGAAATAGGCTATTTTGGTTGGCATTTGTTGTAAATTTTGAGGTAATAACCCTGAGCCCCACCCTCCTGCCCCAGCCTGAGCTCCCCCAAACCCGGAGCTCCGTCCTTCACCCCAAACCCCTCATCCCCGGCCCCACCCCAGAACCCACACCCCCAGCCCTGAGCCTTCACCCACCTGCACCCCAACCTCCTGTCCCAGCCCACAGCCCCCTCCCACACCCTGAACCCGTCATCCCCGGCTCACCCCAGAGCCCGCACCCATAGGCGCCGTGCATGTAGTCACAGACTGTATCTTGAAGTGAGTCTGCTATGCCACAAAGCCCAAGAAGAAGAAGAAGGGGGATGCTCGGGAATCAGAGACTGATAGGAGCGAATAGGTTCTAGCAGAGAGTCAGGACTTTGACTCCAGTCATGTAGGGCCTCAGAGTGGCCCGCCAAAGAAGGAAAGGCCCAAGGCAGGGAGGTTTAAAAGGAGGAAGAGAAATGTTGTTGGTTGGGCTTTAGTTTGGGCCTATGTTGTATTTTGAGTTTATCTTCTATGAATAAACCCAAGCCCTAAGGAGAAGTACTTTGACCACTGAAAAAGTGTTTGGAATCTGTGTAAGGGACCCTGAACAGGGAGGAAACAGGCAGGGTACTGCAGAGTGACCTCTGGCATGAGAGAGTGCATGGGTGATGACTGACCCTGTTACAGCCTTGACTCACAAAGGCACCTCTGAAAGGAAAAAATCTCTGTGGCTTTAGAATACACCAAGCAGTTCCAAATATTGTGGATCTTGAAAAACAATCCTGAGGTAGAAGACCCCTAATACACCCCATAAAGACATTAATCCTCTTTTTTAGTGGCCCTAAACCCAACAGTTCCAGCCCTCAGGTGATGTCTCCTACATAGCAGCATTCTCAGATGGCTGGGAGCTGCTGGAGTGGCTCCTATGTCACTCGCTTTCTCTCTGTGGCCAGCATAGAGGACATGACTGAAAAGGGAGTATGGCCAGAGCATTGTGATGCTTTGTGATCCCTGATTCCCATAATGGCACCTTCCATGCAACAGTGCCCTTTCTCACTTGGTCAGCTCTGCAGATGTGGGTCCATAAATTCAACACATTCGGTAAACCCACAGATGATAATGCTTTTCCTTTTGCCATCCAGTCAGTGTATTTCACTAGCAGAAACCACTAGCAGCTCTGACATTTACTAATGCATCCTTGGACTCAATAAGGGTTGAAATTTGTAGTTCTAATTAAATAAATAGCATATTATTGCTTCAGTATATATCCCTGTGATGGGGTGTGTACCCTCCTCCCCCGGCATGGAAGGGGTTAAACCCAGGAGGGAGCAGTGGAGGTGAGTCCTCTGAGCAGCCTAGAGTGGCTGCACGGGCTTCAACCAATCAGGGAGGGGTTGCAGGGATCATTCCAGACTTAGCAGGGCTCTTGTAAAAAAAAGGAGCTGCGGGGGCCGAGCCAGGCAGTTGTGGCCTGGGGCTTCAGGGGTAAGAACTGGCTTCCTAGCTGGTAAAAGAGGTGCTAGCACCATGGACAGAGCAGTTGCTGGCAGGAATTAAGGGAGCAGAGGCTCTGAAGTAAGGGTGAAGTAGGTGTTGGGCTTGTGAGGAAGTGGCCCAGGGAAATGTGCTGAACAGTTAGAAGGAATGGAGCAGGAAGCTGCCCCTAGAGGGTTTCTGGGTTGGGACCTGGAGTAGTGGATGGGCCCAGGTCCTCCCCTCTTAGCCACTGAGGGAAGTGACTGGGCAAATGGACTGCAATGTACTGACCCCCAGAAGGGGGAGAAACAGACAGTGACATGGCTGAAGGACTGGGTCATGAAGAGCGTGCAGCGGTTCCTGAAGAGACTGCTGGTGGAGACGGAGCGATGGCGTGCAAACTATGGATGTGGGGCGTTGTCCTTGAGCTAATACCCACAGCAACCAGGAGGAGGACCCAGTCCAGTGGTGAGGGTTGTGCCTTGTGATAACCCCAAAATATATCTTTTTATTCCAGAACACAATAAAAGGGTTTAGGTTAGGTGAGAAGATATAACTTGTATGGGATGATGAGAAGGCAACATAATGGCATAGCTGAAGTAGCCATATATCTTAACTGTTCCTTTCCAGACTCACACTTTTGAGTTCTTTTTATTTTTGAGATAGGAGAATTATTATATGAAAATGGTAATACACTGTGTGGGTTGTAGATAGACACCACAGTTACTGTGGAACTCATTGCCACAGGATGTGGTTTGGGTTAAGATATTGGCAAGATTCAAAGAGGGATTGGGCAGTTATGGGTAACAAGAATATCCAGAGTTAAAAGAGTTAATGCTAACAAGAATGGGATTGGAAGAGAGACAAAAACACATTTCAGGTTTTAAACTAATCTCTAACTATTAGGGATTAGGATGAGACCTTCACTGTGGGCAGACTACTCGATATCTGCCTACTGTGGGGTTTCTCATATCTTCCTCTGAAGCATCTAGTGCCCACCAATGTTGGAGACAGGATAGTGGACTAGATGGACCTGATAACTGTGTTCTGGTAATACATGCTTTCAATCTTAACTATCTTATAAAGCTTTTCTCTTTACTAACAACAAATTGAAAATGCAAATAAATGTTAAGGATTTCCATTCTGTAACATTAAATGGAACCTGGGCAATTATAAACAGAGAACTAAAAGGAAATTTAAAACAACTGTATCTGCTGTAGATCAAACTGAACAAGTGCTCTGAGTCGCTATAATTACTGCTTCCCCACAGTGCCTGTCTCAGACTAAAAATGACATTGGAATACAGAAATATTGAGGAGTTTGATCTAGGGTGACCAGATGTCCCAATTTTATAGGGACAGTCCCGATATTTGGGGCTTTTTTATATATGGGCTCCTATTACCTCCCTACCCCCTGTCCTGATTTTTCACACTTGCTATCTGGTCACCCTAGTTTGATCTGACTTTTTAATTCAGAAGCTGTTGGATGGGAGAGGCTGCTTACTTGTTGGGGTAGAATAAATTGCATTCCTAGCACTGCATGCCAAACCAAACTCCACATTTTCTGGAATCTGCCCAACAAATTCACTGTGGACTATCTTGCAGCATTTTTAATATGCTCCATGCATTCTCATTGGTTGCCCTCCCTTTGTCAAAGTTCATTCATGACAATACTGCGGAAGCAATGATGCACTGTGCTCAATACAAATGCTTATACAGATCAATTAGCAGAACGTCTTATTAATGGTCACTGACTTGCGTTTTTTCACACTACTGAGCAGTAATTGAAAATTCCATGTTGCAAACAAATGCAAATTTGTTATAGCAGTGACTACCCTTTCCTGCAGATACCATAGCATTTAACAGCACAGCATCCACTGAAAGAGTCCAGTATTTTCTCTTCTGCTACTTTGGAATAAACAAGTATTTTATTTTTAAGTTACTTGCAAATATTTGTGCTCCTTTGTCAGGGAGGGTCATTAATTCAGAGGGCTTGTATGGTGCAAAGAGCAAGGCTCAGTTCTTCAAAGTCTACATTCCAAAGTTTGCTAAAGAATTTTTGCAGTAACAAAGTTTTCTGTGAATTAATGGCCTTTTTATTGCATTTATGGAAGGGGCGTGTGCTAAAGAGTATATTCCCCTAACCTATCCTAAGAAGGTCGAATCAATAAGTGCTTTTTGTAAATATCTCTCTGGGAAGCAAAAGCAGGCACATCAGTCATCTCTGTCAGAGGCCAGAATCAAAGGTAGCATTCATGAGCTACCCTTGGGAATAGGGGAAATACAGTTTGGACTACATACTTGTTTATGTGAGTTGTTCCTGGATGGGGAATAGTTCTGGAACTGGCAGCACCTGGTGCCTGTCCCAGGGTGGTCCCATTTCTAATGGCCAAGCAATCAATTTTGCACAGACCTAAGCACTGTGTGATATTCTTTGGAACAAACTGGGTCTCTTTTTTATTACTGCCTAGAAATAAAGATACATGAATAAAAATGCACATGTGGATGCTTTTGCCTTAACAATAGCACTGTTTGGATGGAATTAGAATCCAAAATACAAAAAAATGGGATGATCCCCTAGGGCAATGCAATAACCTGGACAGTTTGTTTCTGAGAGAGAGAATGTTTTTCATTTAATCAATAAAGAAACAATCCCCCATATAGTCATGTAATATCCGTTTACTGAAAAATAAATTGCATTTGTACTTTTACCATCACATCTAATTTAAAGTTTCTTGTCCTTTTTGACAATCTGGGAAAACTGCG